TGTGACTGAACTCCTTTGAGGGGGAATTGCATGTCCCCTGCTCTGTTTTACCCGCATTCTGCCATATATTTCATGTTACAGCAGTTTCAGATGATGACCCAGCACATGTTCATTTTAGAACACTTTCACTGCAGATTTCACAAAATGCAAAGAAGGTACCAGTGTGAGATTTCTAAAGATAGCTACAGCACTCGACCCATAGTTTAAGAATCTCAAGTGCCTTCCAAAATCTGAGAGGGACGAGGTGTGTAACATGCTTTCAGAAGTCTTAAAAGAACAACACTTCAATGCGGAAACTACAGAACCCAAACTACCAAAAAAGAAAATCAACCTTCTGCTAGTGGCATCTGACTCAGATAATGAAAATGAACATGTGTCGGTCCTCTCTGTTTTGGATTGTTATCAAGCAGAACCCGTCATCAGCATGGACGCATGTCACCTGGAATGGTGGTTGAAGCATGAAGGGACATATGAATCTATAGCACCTCTGGCAGGTAAATATCTTGCGAGGCCGGCTACAACAATGCCATGCGAACACCTGTTCTCACTTTCAAGTGACATTGTAAACAAGAAGTGAGCAGCATTATCTCCTGCAAAGGTAAACAAACTTGTTTGTCTGAGTGATTGGCTGAACAAGAAGTAGGACTGAGTGGACTTTGTTTTATTTTTGAATGCAGGTTTTTTTGTACATAATTCTACATTTGTAAGTTCAACTTTCATGATAAAGAGATTGCACTACATTACTTGTATTAGGTGAATTGAAAAATACTACTTTTGTTTTTTTACAGTGCAAATACTTGTAATCAAAAATAAATATAAAGTGAGCACTGTACACTTTGTATTCTGTGTTGTAATTGAAATCAATATATTTGAAAATGTAGAAAACATCCAAAAATATTTAAATAAATGGTATTCTATTATTAACAGTGCAATTAATTGGGATTATTTTTTTTAATCGCTTGACAGCCCTAGATTTTATGTTTGAATCCTGCTGCTACAAACTTCAGCTTGAGAATTGTATCAACACAGTTAAAATCCTAATCAAATCATGCTGCCCAAGCTCTATAATTTTTGCCCTTTGGGACCCATCTTTACCTCACTCCTGTCATATTTATTCCACGTGCACGATATATTGTAAGCTACGTGCATTATATCTACAGTAGAGCTTCAGCGTTATGAACACCAGAGTTACGAACTGACTGGTCAACCACACACCACCCTTGGAACCAGAAGTATGCAATCAGGCAGCAGCAGAGATTAAAAAAAAAAAAAGAAAAAACCAAAAAATACAGTACTGTGTAAAACATAAACTACTAAAAAAAAAAAAGTTTTAAAAAAGATTTGACATGGTAAGGAAACTGTTCCTGTGCTTGTTTCATTTAAATTAAGATGGTTAAAAGTAGCATTTTTCTTCAGCATAGTAAAGTTTCAGAGCTGTATTAAGTCAATGTTCATTTGTAAACTTTTGAAAGAACAACCATAATGTTTTGTTCAGTTACCAACAACCTCCATTTCCGAGGTGTTTGTAACGCTGAGGTTCTACTGTATATGCTTGTGTTGTTTGTAACAAACTCTGCCCTTCTGGGGTAACTTCCATCCTAGGATCTCAGTGATTTTGGGATGATTGGCATGATTCCCATTGTGCAGATGTGGAAACTAAAGCACAGTGAGACCAAGTGACATGGTAGTACTGGGAATAGAACCCAGGGACTCACAATTCAGGTAAATGTATAGGCCCAAGTTTTATAATAGGCCGTTGGAGAATTTACCCTGGTGTAGGTGATGTGACCGCTTGATGTCTGCGGATGGAATAATACTGTGCTCAATTTGGGGACTTCACTTGTTGAATATGTTTTTATGCAGATTTATGTTGCCGTGATGAAAGTAATATAAAACAGAAGTGACTTGCCTGTCGAGTGTCTAGTCAGCTGTGAAAGTTCTTGACGATATTTTCAATGTGAAAGAGGCTAGACTGAAATAACTCATGTGCAAAGCCTTACATTGGGGCTCTGTGCTGTAAACAGCACCACTAACCTAGGAGGGGGGTTCCCCTGCTAAGAGAAATGAACAGCTGAGGGGAAGTCAAGCAGCCCACCAAAAGGCATCAGAAGCAGCTTGTGACTCTCAGTTACCAAGGCCATGATTAGAGCCAGGGGCCTGGAGGTCCTGGGTTCTAACACAGGCTGTGCCAGTGACTCACCGTGTGACCGTAGGCAGTCACATCCCTTGTGCCTCCCTCAGCCCTCAATAACTATAATACTGGGTAACACACACAACTGTTGAAAAGCAGCTGCTGTATGTGAACTGATCTTTCTAAGGAAAATAAATACAAACCGTGCCTGAAGAAAGAGAACCTTGGTTCTAACTGACCTGTACTTAGTGGAGGATAAAATAATCTGCATAAAGTCTTCACAATACAGCTAGGTTAGCTTGTACAATGTAGGCTGATGTTACCCAATATCTGAATTTGACCCTATCACTGTAGCAAGGAGGTGAGAAATCCCACAATGGTCATTCCATATTAAATCGCCTCCCTTCTAATTCATACAATACCACAGTTAGATCCACATGAGTGACCCCTTAGATCCACAAAGAGCATCATTTGGTCTCAGCTTCTGGACCGCTGCTGTAACCATGCCCTTGTTAGCTGTGAGTCACAGGCTTTTCTGATGCCTTCTGACAGGATGTTTAACTTCACCTCAAGCGTTCACTTCCCCTCTGCAGGTGACTCTCCTAGTTTGATGGAGGTGGTGGTGTTTACAGTGGGTGCGAGTGGGAATCCAGTTCCGTGATCTGGGCCTTATTCTATGTAGTCTTTCACACAAGCCACATTAACACACCCCTGCCATGCTTGCCAACCTAACGTGGCAGTCCAATAACATCAGAGGGGGAGAGGAACTGTGAGATGGGCAAAGGTGAAGAGTGAAAACTTGCAGTTGATGTTTGGAAGTGAGATAAAGAACATGGTGCATGGGAGAACTCCAGGAGGGCAGATCCAGATTGCTGCTGCACAATCCTGCAGCTCATGTAAAGTGGGAAGATCGTGGTCTGGGATGGAGAGGAAGCTGGTGCTCGATGAAAGAAGAAAGGACGGAGAAAGAAAGAAAGAGAATATTCATGAGTTAGTTTGGAACAAGTCTCTGGAGGATTTAAAAATGTATGGGTTGTGTAACTGGGTCAGGTTTTTGTGCACAGTGCATAGAAACCCACCCCACCCCAGGCATTTCATTGTCTGCATCATTAAAACCTTCTACATCAGGTTGCACTGTTTCAGCCGGCTGACTTTTCCACATACCCAATTGCCTATTAGATTTAAAAATGTTATTAAAGCTAATGTTAAAATTATATAATACACAGGTTGAGAAAAGAGTGTCTGTACATCTGGGTAGAGTGCTTAGACTATCCACAAATACAAAGTTTGCTTAAAAACTCATAAGATACATAATCAGCATTAACCCAAATTTAGGTGAATAAATTTAACAGTACAGTTTAGATACTAGCATCCAAGTATTTGGGTGCATCACTCATGAAAAGTTATACAGAGAGTTGGTTGTGGAAAGCACATATATCAATGAGTGAAGATTGTCCCTCAGTAATTGAGAATTTAGGGTAGGCTGTCCATTTAGAGGTGTCACGCAGCTCTGTTAGCAGCATGCTGAACACAATTGCTGCAGGCAATATATAAAAATTAATGTCAATTTTCAGACTGCTAACGTGGTTAACAGGTGATGCTTATGCAGTGTTAAATGACTGAAACCTTTTCACTTTGCTGGGGATGCTAGAAGAAGAGGGTTCATTGTCATCAACAAACAGGAGTAATTGCATCCAGCCTCTTATGTAAGCTGTTCTGTGTATTGTGCTTATCAGCATCTCTTAGCCGAAATACAAAATAAGCCACGGTGATCATTCTCTGCTACAACTAATGCTGCTGCTGCTGCTGGACTAAAGGAGCTAACCCCCTCATCCCATCAAATCTTAATTGGCCTTCTCCTTGTCAGCCTCAGAGGCTGAGAATTGGCACCACCCTGGAGATGGAACTGTCTTACGCCATCACCACTCCATGTTGAGTATGGTGGTGGGTGGGCTTGGGGGAACTTGCCCAGTGCTTTCCTGGCTGTACCTAGTCTGTGGACAAAAAATGAATTTCGTTCTTGTGGGCTGCCAAACCAGCACATTTCAGCATCGTAAAACTCTCACGAAGGCAAGCTCGCCAACACAAGTGACCATAGATCACTATTGGAATAGTTAAGAGCAAACCAGAGTTTACCCTTGAGGGAATGGCCACCTCTGGGCTGCAAGGTGACCTCCGTTTCTACAGCACTACTCATGCGTCTAGACACAATGTTAGCTGTGTTACCAGGAGGCTTTATTACTAACTCAGTTTAATTTGCAGCCTCTTTTGTTATTTCCTGTTGGCTCAGCTGACTTAGATTCTTGTCTGTGTTTCCTGAGTCGGTTTCATCAGCATAATAACTTCTAGTGAAATATTTGACGGCTCTGGCTGACAGTTGCAGTGTATGCACTTCGGAATATTGAGGTAAATGCAACTGGCAATGTCCTGGTTTGCGCCTGTATCTCTTCTGTTTTGTCAGTGCCTTTCACCAGCTTTGGAAAAACATTGTGCACAATTACAAACTCTGGGGTGATAAGCACCTCTTGAGAGGCATTGAGCACCCACACCCCGGACTGAAGTCAATAGGAGTTTGATGTTAGCTTGTTTGATAACTGATCAGTCATGCCTGCTTTGGCTGAGGGACAGAAGTATGGTGTCTGGATAAAGAGTGTGAATATTTCCCCAAGTGAAGATGCCCCAAATAAAGGCCTGATAGCTGAAGGCTGATGCCTGTGCAGTCCCCTGCATGGATTCTGATGCATGTGGAAGGTTAAATGACTCAGTTCTGAAAAGCCCGTCCCAGTGTCTGATTGAGCAGAGCAGCTCAAAATTCATCATGAAACAGTGAGATTTTGAGGTTTGACACTTTGTATTCTCTCTTTCTCAGACTACTGCATGAATCCACAGACAGTCTTGTTGCTCCGGGTCATCGCTGCTTTCTGTTTCCTTGGAATAATCTGCAGCCTTTCAGCTTTCCTGCTGGATGTTTTCGGACCCAAGCATCCTGCGCTGAAGATCACTCGGCGCTATGCCTTTGCTCACATTCTCACAGGTAACTGCCAGGGCATTTGCACCTCAGTGAGGCTGGTTATGTGAGGTGGCATACGAGCACCATCAACTGCAGCGTGGGAAAGCTGAGTTGATACCTTACATTGGGCCCTTGTACACCCTCAGCCAAATACACCTCAGAGCGTAGCAAATGGGAAATAGTATTGCTATCCAAAGGGGTTTTCCTTGTGTCCCTGGTCCCTGATCCCTGCCCGGTCAACATTCTCAGCTGCAGAGTTCATGTGCCTTTATCTTCCCCTCTGCTGTCAGCACAGAGCATTGTCAGAGTCCTAAGAGGTGTCAGTCTGTGCCCTTGGCTGCAGGACTCTTGCTCCACATTGTGCAGCTGCAGCTTGAAAAGCAGGGGTTAAATCTGTCAGAAATAGAGGCCTAGGATGAAGTTTATATTTAGTCTGTTAATGGGGATGAGCTGGTATGTTTCATTTCCAGAGTGATCCCTTAGCACAGACAGAGTGAACCAAGATAACCATGGCTCCCCTTCCTCCCAAGTCAGGGGAAGAATTGCCATTGATCTTAGTAGCAGCAGGGTTGTACTCTCCACCTGTGTGTCACACAGGTGCCAGCTGTGCTGTCTGCACTGTGACCAGGGTTGTTATAAATCAGCCCTGGACATGTGCCAACGGTGTGTAACTTGCATGAACCTTCAACTTCCCTTCCCATCTGCTGGCCCCCGTCTGTGAAAGATGAGTTTAGAGATTGAACACTCTGGCCCTGACTCCCAGGCATGTTCAGCTCATCCTTAAAGCCCACATTGCCCATGATTTTGCCCAACCTATTTTGGCTTTTATCACGTCCATTTTCCCTCTTCTAGTTGATGAATCCTCCCACCATGCTATGCAGGTTATAGAAGTCAGGTTGAGGTTCCTCTGTGCATTACTGTGCAGAGACGTAGGGCTGGCCCTGAAAATCTGGCATTTCTGTTTACTTTGTGGTGGTCTCCCAGGGGGGTTCCTGTGCAGTCTCATTGTTTTTTTTGTTTGTTTTGGTTTGTTT